CCAGTTGGGCTCGCTGGCGTCGTCCCACTTTTGGTGCCGCTTTTTGACCCCAAAAATGGCGCCGCCCTTCCCTATCACTAAGCCACAGCCCCAGAGGGCTGGGCCCGCTTTTGGGGTCAGAAACACGCTTGCGCAAGCGCGCAACACGCCTCAGCTCCGGAGCACTGTTGCGCCATGTGCGCAGGGCGTTCATATGCCCGAGGTTTTTTTTAGATAGCCTTCCAGCCCTTGCGCTTGACACGTTGCGAGTGTGGAGCATGGACAGCAAGCGTTGCAACCAACATTGCCACAAGGGAGCAGCTGGCTTGCGCAGCTGCAGCTGGTAAAAATTTGAATCCGCTCACTTTGTTGCCCGCAGGGGGTTTTGGCAAGACTGTGAGGGTACATGGCAGGGAAGGCTATTTTGAACTATCTGCTCGGCCCTTGATCAAGGGACCTTACAGCTGCCTTTTTGGCGACACCTGGAAGGAATCAAAGAGGCGTACAGAACATTCAGAGATCCTTGCTGCGCTGTGTTTGGGCTTCCTTATGAAAGCAATCTTGCGTCACGCATTGTAATGTCATACTGCCCCCCGTCCCCCGTTCCGCCCTACAATGAAGAAGGAATTCGCGGGTGAACGTGTGTCTAGGTTCCCCGCTTAACGCGTATCCGGTTTCTTTTTGCTGTTGTAACTCTTTCTAATTCTCAAATGCCGGAAAACGTATCCGGGCTTCTTTTTGTGAGAAAAGCGGCATCCGGGGTGGCGTTGCCTGATTGGAACATGTAGAAACCGTGTCGTATCCGGGCATGTCGCGGCGAGTGCAAAGCTGGGTGCGCGCTGCCAGCTCGCGCACACGTGGCGCCGTTTTTTGTGGCCTGGGCGTTGGCGGCGAACCCGCATCACTGTCGTGAGTCTCGCGTAAAGCGCTCGTGTTTGAAGTATGTTGCTGGGGCCGGAACTAGGCCCGAAAAAAACCAGCGTTTCGACCTTCTCCGCTGTGGGCCCTCATTGTATATATACTCGGGTGTATTTGCATGCCCATGTTGTCATCGCGCCATCAAGGGGGGAGAAGTGGGGTGGGACGTGCACTGCCATTTCACCTGGGCCATCAACTAACATTGCAAGCCGAAAAGCAAGGCAGTACGACATCGGGACTTGGTGCTTAGTCTGAGAGAGGGAGAGAGAGAGAAAGAGAGAGAGAGAGAGGGAGAAAAAAAAAAAAAGGAGGGAGGAGTGTTTGAAGGGAATGCTCATCAATGGCGCCCATCACTGCCGCGGCGGTCGTGTTCGCAAAACTGAATCGGGGCTAAGGCGCAACAAGGGAAAGCTTCAGTCGGCCTTCCAAGGACGCACATTGCAGGACTGCATGGCCATCGACAGCAATGGGAAGTAATGAAGCGGTCGAATCCAAGCTGCGGAGAGGTAAGCATCAAAGTGGCAGCTTGTATGAACCTCTGGAGCAACATACATGTCCTTGCCGTGGGCGCCGGTGGAAAATCCTGAGGCCCACTGACAGAAGTCTTGCGCCAGCATGTGTGCCTGTGGCCTGCGCCTGTCTGCCTGTATGCCAAGCGGCTAGAGCCAGACGCCGCAGCGAAATCGATCAGACGTATCTCTAAAGCATCATCGACCTTGGTTGGGTTTAAGAGCCAAAGCTTCGCCGCATGGCCAACCACTGGCCCAGGTCAAGTGTCATTACAAGCCAAGACCATATCCAAAACAACACGTATCACCAACAAACCAAGCGCCGCCTTCGTCACGAGGACGTTCTCGCACGACAAGTCACGGTGCGCAATGGACCTCAGTTCGTAAGGTTGCACGACTTTGGTGAGCGCGACTCGTGAGCCACGTGCAAATTGACTGCCGTGCAAGGTAATGCTAGGATAGAAATGAAACTTCCCCCTTGAAATGCACCTGGGCCATCTGGCAGCTCCAACCCCCGCATTCCTTGCCTATTCGCTAGATCCCCCCCAAGTATTTTTCGCTGCTGCATCTGATTGTCATAGGCTATACTTTTGAAATCCTGACATCCTTCTGGAATCCTCGAACCTTCTGTAATCCTCATCCCCAATTCCGAAGTATTTGTTTTCCCACATCAAAGTCGTATGGCACGGTACTCAACAGTGACTGTCTAAACAGAAAAGCAAGGCGAAGCAACAGCAAAGCCGAGCATTTGAAGCCATAGGCCAAGCCCTTCAGGGAACCTCCTGTTGTTGTCAAAAGGAAACTGCTGGTCCCCTAATTTGAGACACACCCAAATGGTCATGCTGAGTCGCAGGTCATGCAGTTCCTGCACAGCTCGAAGCATTTGCACAGCCAATGGCTGAACAATCGCCTCACAGGGCAGATCAGGAACCAAGAATTCAAGCTGCCAATCTGGCTCCCCGGCACAAATCCTGGAGAATATATAGAACATGCACGCCATCACCAGTGAGCGCCAATCTCTCCCAGCGCAAAACACGAATGCCACAAGTTTGCCCCAAGTCCGGGTGTCGCATCACAAAGGCCTCTCTGTCAGCGCCAGGGGGAATGTCCAGCATGGAGGACCAGTAGAAAAGATCTCCGTGCGAGGCAAAGGAGCTGACCTGGTGCGTCACACGCGTTACACCTGGAAAAGCCCAGTCGGTCGCTGTATCTCAAAATGGGCTCTGGCCGAGGTCGGCAGCGCCGAGCGTTTAAGACAAGGGAACCCTACAGAAAACAAATAAACAACTAAAATGATGAATGTGGACAACTGTTTATGGCTGGGACTGCTCCGTATTAAGAGTTTCCAGTGTCGGGTGATTTTCAGGATGGATCCTCAAAATTGCTACTGACAAGGGATGCCTATGTTTGAACATCCGCTTTCATTGACACTCAACTCCAAGGCCAAGCACCTTTCTTGACAGTTTCACTGAAAAGACATAAGGGGTCGGTCGATTCATCCATCTTGGGACCGATCAAAGCTGCGACTGATTGCACTCTGGGCCGCTATGTATGTGCATGTCTGGTCGCGATATACACCCAGCAGGTCACAGGCCCAGTGATATCCAACCTGGGGTCAAGACGGAGTTCGGAGACAAGGAAACCGAGCCCCTGAAAGGTCAAACCATAAGAAAACTGAAGCGCCATGTTGAGAAATGGACTGATTCCTTATCAATTATGTTACTTCTTTGCTAATGAGTTTATGATGTACATTTTTGTCGGAAATATTTCATCCAAAATTGATGAAGCAAAACATCGTCCAGCCAAATATATCATTAGTTTCGGTGCTATTTCGAGAAGCATTGTGGCTCAAAACCTTTCCTGGTTTGGAAACGCACACACACACAGACAGACACACATGAGTGCACGCATGCGCGCATGCTTGCGGGCCTACGAGGTACACCCTTCGCCTTCTGCATTTCCCTAAAGGTTCCCCGCCTGGTTGAGGAATGCTGCGTAAGCAACATCCATCCACGGCCTGGAAAGCATGGCATGGAAAGGTGGATCCCGAAATGAGTGTCATTTTTTAGGGAACCTCTTTTTGGTTGGTTTACAGGAAGACCAAAAGGAAATCCACCGCCTTGGGGGTCCCCTAAAAGAGGACACACCCAAATGAAGACTGGGGGTTTAAGTCTTTTTGCCGGAGGCAAAACTGGATAGCTCTTTCGTGTGCTCGCCAAGTATAGCGACTCGAAGGCAGCCCACAAAGTCAAGTTTGGCACAGCGCAGGTGGTTTAAAGAACAAAAACACAAGTCCTCTGCACTTCATCTCGTTGCTCATACATGCGTCACCTTCCTGGTGAAAAAAAAACGCTGTGCGTGCTGCAATTCAAGCGGCATCTCGGTCTCGAGTGGATACGTGCTTTTAAATTCTGTCTGGTTCTCAAGCATCCACCACGTCGGCACCTGACAGGGATGTGCTGATGGACTGAGATGACACACGGCATGCAGGAAGTCAGCACGGCGCCTGCTTCACGGCGACGAGCATGGAAGTGACTGTATCTCTCATCAGTAGAACACGCCCTTTGTTCCTAGGAGCATCCTCAAGCTTCCTGCGTGCAGTCTGGGAGTCTGGCCACTGTCTGGCAACTGTCTGGCAACTGTCTGGCAACTGTCTGGCAACTGTCTGGCAACTGTCTGGCAACTGTCCCATGAACGTCTGGCAACTGGCAACCTTTCTATGCATCCTGCCTGACCATCTGGAAGCGCACAGGGTTCCAAGGGGACCACCCACGAGTCACCTGGCAAAGTCTGGAGCAAGCGAAAGCTTTTGCAGCCTTTCTTGCGGCTGAGGAACGAATTGACCAGGCATAGCTGGGTCTTGCAGCTTTGGAAACTTCAAAAAAATGGAAGGCTGTACTCACCAACTCGAACGCACAGTTTCTGTCTGCCAGGTTCCGGGCCTTTGGAGAATTCAGTACACTCGTGGGAACAGGTGATCACAGTTCACTTCGGCCTCGGGACCCTAGACAGGTGCCTGGGCGTGAGAATGGAAATGCCCCTCTCCGAGATTTCGCCCAGAGATGCGTACTGACTACGCAGGAGATTTCTCACGCGTGGTTCGTAACGAAACACTAAACGGGAATGGAACTGAGCCAAACATCAGCGGTGCGATCTTTCCATGGCCCATTCTGTGGGTGTTAGAAGCTGATTGAAATCCTCACCGCTGTTCTGCATATCAAAATCAAAGTGTCTGCCGCTGTCATTGAGTTGCCGAGCTTCGGGCACACCTGTTCAAGGCCTTTTTGAACGGAAGCCACGGTTCAAATCGTGCAACTGGCAACAATGTCTCTGAGTCAACATCTGCAAGCACCCGATGACCTGGGGCCTTTGCGAGTCTGGGTTACGTTTGACTACATTCGATTTGCCGAAAAGGGAACCTGGAAAGTCGTGCTGCTTTCAGATTAGCCGTTAGACATCTTGTTAGGGGACTCCCCAAATTGGCATTTTTGCTGTTCGTTTCCTTTTCTCGCCACCCCTAAAGAAGTAGTCCCAAAAAGAGAAAGAAAAACAGACCCAAGAGCCCCCAAAGCCCAATTTCTGGGCCGCCGCGACGCGAGTCCTCCGGCAGCTCCTTGAGCGCTCTCTCCACGTCCTATCACAAGGACTCAAGTTCATAGAGGCAGAAATAATGCAGAACATTCATACATGTATATATATATATATATTATAATATATATATGTATATACAAATACGGTACATCACATGTTCCCACCCCCCCACGCAACCCGAGCAATCCAACCCTCAGCCAACCCGAAACCAACCCTGCATCAATCCTAACTTGCGCAAGGGGAACCCGAAACCCACGCATACCAACTCCAAAGCAGCCCTAATCCATCCGCAAAACAACCCTACAACTACCCCAAACCAACCCTAAACCACCCCCAAACCAACCCTAAAAAAAAGCAACCCAACCATAAACTCATCCAAATCCAACCACCGCAAGAAACCACAGCCCCAGGAGGCGGGGGGGGGGGGGGGGGAACCCTACACCACAACCGAATCAGGACCACAGGGGCGGGGGAACCACCCCAACTTAGCCCCAATCCAACCCTAAGCCAACCCTACACCACAACCATCTTCAGCAACCCCGCATGATGCAAAGCATCAGCATTGCATCTTCCATGAATCCCATGCTGGCGTCATCGGCGCTGTTGGCATGGTCTTGTGATTGGGTTGTGGTGTAGGGATGGAATAGGGTGGGTTAGTAAAACACTGCAAAACAGACACAAACTTCTGTTTACCTCCCACATCAAATTTCCTAGTATCTTGTACTGCACCGTAGCCTCGCGTTTTGCCGTAGCCGTTTATTTGCCTAAAGGGCTGGTCGCAAAAGGACACACAGTGTGCTGTGTCTTCGGCCGTGTGAAACGGATGTCCTACCTCACTCTCGCAAAGTGCAAAAACATGTCACATCTAAATCCTTGTGCCTCACGTTGGCTTTGCGCATTCTTCAGTTCCAGCTGTAGGTTCTCGAGTTGGCAACCTGTTCTTCTGGCATTGGTCGTGATTATCTGACCTTATTGGTTGTGATCAGGCCAATCTAGGTCGCTCTGGTCTCCCTCTGCGCTCTCGGGGGCTTGGGGCTCTTCCTGAACTTCTTGGTGTGACCATGAGTGGGTAGTCAAGGATGATCCTCACCTCGTTGTCCAGGAGAGCTCCACGTTGTTTTTGTCTTTTTCTTGGAGTCCTACAACACTTCTTCAGTTGCACAAAGGTCTTCATCCCGCGCAAGACGTAGGTCTGCGCGCAGTCAGGGTAGGTCTTCTTGCCATCTGGTCCTTGTTGATTGTGAAGCATGCGTCGAGCCATGTCCTTGAGTGTTGCTGTTGATTCAACGCTGATGTTAAGTTCAAAACAGGTGACCTTTTCCCAGATGACATGTCTCTTGGGACAGAGACCGTGAGTCGGCTGTCGTGTTGAAATCGCCGGCCACGATGTCGCATCGATACTTGCAAATCATAGGAAGGAAATGGGTGTGGGTCAAAATTAAGCCACCATGGGACCGCAGGTTTTTGTCTTTGGTTCCATTTACCAGGGTTCCATTTTGGGTACCTATTTTTGACCCACAGCCAAATCTTGCTCCACCTCTTCTGCGACTGCAACTGCTGCTACTGGAAGACCCGCTTGTCGGGCATTTCAGGAAAGTTTCGCAAGGGAATTGTTCTTTCGGCAAAAGAGTAGATGTTGCCACGGTCCCAATCGACCCCACCATCACCCGTGCTTTTGTGAAGGGAATGCTTCTCTGCTAACTAAAGTAGATGTCGTGACCTGCATGCTCGACTTTTGACAGTCGCACTTTCCCCAGGCTGACATGAGTAGGTTTGCTTTGGAACACCGAGAGGGCATGCGTGATGAATCACTGTTGCGCACGTTGGATGCTTTGGCACTGTGGATCTTTCGGAAGGGTGGAGTAACCAGGTTGGTTTAATAGAAAGGGCTGAGAAAATTCAGGTGACTGCTACTAGCGAGCCGCTTAGGTGGACTCTGAGGGCGGCCGTGGCACGGCTGGAAAGACTTTTCAGATTCTGGGCACCAGCATTTTGACTCGCTTTGCCGGAAAAGGTTTTATGAAGGGTACTGACACCCTGTGGCGTGGCATTGTCACACGAGGCCATCTGACCTGGTGACCGACATGCGGGTTACCTAAGGTCACTAAACCGCGACCCGGCGCCAGCTTCAGGTGCAGAAGCAAGCTAAGGATCGGGGCGCCCGGGCGCCACTAGGTCATCTTTCTGGGCTGCGTCACGCCAAATTCCGCCTCTGTCATGACTGCTCCAGGCCTATCGGCGTTGCCAGTTTGATTTACTGCAGCGGAGCAGGCTTTAGAAGTTTGGGCTGAAGTGCTTTTGCTGCTGCCTCACCCAGGGTGGCACTTGCTCGTCTCTTACAAATCGAAGTCCTGCAGGTGTTGGTTGATCTTTGTCCTGGTGCATTGGCTGGGAGGTGTGGGCTCGCGCTATGACTTGCTTTCTGACGGGTCATAGCCATGCCCGCAGCAATTTGCTGCAAAGCGTACTCAAAAAAAAAAACTAATCAGGAAACCCACAACCACCCCCCCCCCACGTAAAACCAAAAAAAAAAAAAAACTACGAAACCCCATCCACCCGGTTCTTCGAGCGCGGGAAAACACGGAGAAAAAAAAAACTCCTCGAGGCCGGGCACCAGCTTCCCCAGCTCCAAGCGAGCCATGGCACGGCGGTACCTCGCCTGGAGTCACTTCGGGAGCCCTTGGATGGTTCGGAAACCACGAGGAAACCAACCAGTTTTTGCTCTGAGACCTGTTCGTTGCCTTTTTGTCTTTTCCAAAAATGGAGTCCCTTTTATTTGGAGACAACCCCAAATCCCACCGAAAAATCTCGCCGGCACCAACGGCGCCGACGAGGGAGCTTTCGGCTCCTTGGCATTCTGCGGGTTGTCCTCGAGGGCTGCGCTGCAGTCCTCCTCCTGAGAATTTGTTGAAAAAAGATCCTGCAAGACTGAGCCTCTCAAAATGTCAAATGGATTTCGGAACCCCTTATGGTTGGTTGAGGGGGTTTTCCAAAAGGAAGGCCTTGCCATTTTAGGGAACCGGTTGCTCGATTTTGAGACCTGGGTGCCGGGACCGCATCCCTGAAACGCTGCAGCTTCAGCCGTGCCAGCGCCTAAGCCAAGACAAAAGGAAGCAAGGGCATGACGACATGGGTATGGATTTGTTGGACCCTCTGGTGGCCAAGTGGGAAAGTGCCGAACAGCCCGGCTTCCTTTGCCACCAACTTGGCAGGGCCCCAAGCGCACGGGCTGAGCAACGCCTTCCGAGAATCCCCCTCTCTCTCTCCCTCTCTCTCTCTCTCTCTCTCTCTCTCTCTCTCTCTCTCTCTCTCTCTCTCTCTCTCTCTCTCTCTCTCTCTTGGGACTGAACTCTGTTGGAGTGCAAGGCACATCGCAGGTCGCCTGACAAAGCAACTGCCACGAGTTGCTGTACGACTTGGGTGTGACTTCTCTGGGGGTTCCCTGTTTGGGGCGGGTTATAAAGGGAAGCCAACAGAAAACCGCCCATTTCGAGGGGTCCAAGTCCCTATTCTCACACATACCCACGTGGGATCAGCTGCAAGTGCGAGCCTGGGAAGTCCCTCACTCTCCCGGACCTCGGACAAACGTTGAAGCCATCGCATCGGGTTCTCTCAAGACAGGGTCTCCTGAAAACATGTGGCCATGGGTCAAAAGCCAAATCGTACCCCCAGTGAACATCCGATTCAATCCAACCACTAAAATAGGTTCTAAAATGGGTGGTGAATTCACCTACCCCAAAATGGTGCCATTGGTTTTGACCCACAGCCATGTGAAGTGGAAACTTAAAGGCAACCCACCTGAAAGGTCTCTGATTTTGAGAAACATGCGAATCGTTTCTTGCGTCCTCAAAGGCACAGCAGTGGCATCTCTCTTGAGCTCGCGGCTCGTACAGCCACAGGGCCTTGCTGAACCACCTGGCGCGTGGCTTCTCGCAACTCTCTGCGCTGTTTGAGACAGCCAAACATTTGAGCCAGCGTCGAGGACAAGAGCAAGGCAAAGAAGCCATATTGCTGGCGGGCCTTTCGCATTCTGCCACTTTTCCCTCACCAAAAAGACCTCCGACCGGCGTGCACTCGCGTCGACACACAACTTCTTTGCTCGCGCAAAGAACTAAATGATAAACTTTGAGCTGAGCCGCGATTGCCGTGGCGCTTCGCTTCTTCTGCGCCGGCTCTGCTGCACCTGGCGTGCTTCTGAATTGAACCTTGACCTTTTGGTTGCACGTGGCAAGCAACAGAGCTGGAGACTGGCTGCCTGGCCAAATCGGCCCCAACATTTGATTGATTCTGAGCATCGCACAGGATTGACAGGTCAGGGCAGGGGTCAGACCTCAGCCCAAACGTCCAAGCCGAGAAGCAGGCATCGTGAGTTGAGCCAATTGAGCCCATTGCACGCCGGAGTGCTGTACAGATTGCTCGGATGCTGCCTAAGCGAAAATCATGTCAGTTCTCTCACTCACAAATCAAACTCCGAAAGTATGGCTATCCCACAGTCGGAAACCAACCTGGGGCAGCAAACTGGCGCAACTGGCGCGTCATCATCCGAGTCCTCCTGGACAACCTGAATTCGCCTGGTGCGACGGCGTTTGCCACGACAAATTTGCTGCAGCCTTGCCTCCATTGCTGCGAAGCTGCCTTGGCTGCTGCCTTCAGAGCCTCCGGGGGAAACTCGGAAGGAAAGCTCTCCCCAAATCCAAGTCCCATTAAGTCTGCCCTCAGGGGAAATTTTGCTTGGCATGTGTGTGTGTGTTGCCGTCAATGGCAGCGGGCACGGCAAGTGCATGGCAAGGCAATTGGTTCAAGCACGCAGCTCAGGCGAAATGCAAGTATAGCCTCCAAAAGCGAACTCCTTTTGACAAGTGCCCGTGGTGTCGATAAAGCTGTGACTTACCAGTCCACATCCAAATGGCACATGATTCAGAGTTCAGTCCAACCCCGGCCAGACGTCCCCAGTCCTCTCTTTCCTCCTCCTCATCCACATCCTCGATAAGAACCATGATGCCAAACCTGGAGTGCTTGCTAGCCACATAGCCATGGACAGCCAGCACATGAGTCTCCATACTAGTGCGGGAGTTTAGCCTAAGCCACCAGTGTATGCGCTCTTGGCATCGCAAGTAACCTCTATGAGGCGGAGTCTTGCAAATTTCGCCCGAATCGCTTCGCATTTCCTCACGGCGCTAGGATGGCACTGGCTCGGCTCGGTCGCATTTTGAGACATGTCGTGAACAAGGGTGTCATTGTTATATTGCAATTCTTGGCCAGAATCATCTGTGCTTCAAGCTGCGTGGAAAGGGGCTTCCAAAAGACTTTTTTTTTCAGAAAACCACATGCAAACCTAGGCGGCGGCAGCAGCAGCTCAGCAAACAAATAGCAGGTTGTCCGCATGTTCCCAAAAGGATTTTCCAGGCAAGTTGCGGGAGCCCACCTGTGGGAACTTGCATTCTGACAAGACCAAGCATGTTGTCTTGTCTAAGGAAGTTTGAGAAACTTCCGAGCTACGGACGACGTGACTCGGCAAAGACCTAGCATAGCCGATATCAGAGCAAAGACGCAGCCATGCAAAGACACGGCGGAGCAAAGAGATGGCAGAGCAAAGACATAGCGGAGCAGAGAGATATCAGAGCGAAGACACGGCAGAGCAAAGACATGGCAAAGCAAAGACGTAGCGATGCAAAGACATAGCCAGGAAAGACACGGCAGAGCAAAGAGATGGCAGAGCAAAGACATGGCAAAGCAAAGACATAGCACATCGAGGCAAAGCAAGATTTCGCAGCAGTCGCGCTACCTCGGAAGCTCGGCGGTCGCGAGGGGAACCTTGAAAACGGCGCGGGTGCGGATGCGCTCGGGGTGCTCAGATCTGGGTCGGAGTGGCTTCGCAGCCTTAAAAAAGGGAACCTCTCTGCGCAGCATGCCTCTGCGCGCACGAAGTTTCGGTGGACGCTGCAGAACAGGCTGTGGACGCGGCCCACGCCATAGTGGAGCTTGCAGAGCTGCTTGTAAATTTGAGCCAACAAGACACGGATGACACCGAAAAGGGAGCATGTGTCAGCTGCCCACGACGAGACTGGTGGCGGCCACAACGGACGCTCACACTCAAAGAACTTACGCCCGTGCGCCGCACGGCGGCCGGCACCATCTTGCGTATTGTCGCCAAGCCAAGCAGCGACGGCCAGGGCTAATTGCACCACTGGTAAGTCTTGAAAGGGAGCAAGGCGCGGCCAGGGACGGGCCGCTTAGGTGGCCCGCAAAACGTGGGCGACATCGCGGCTAGCACGCCCCACAGCAAGACTGCCAAGCCCAAGACTGCCAAGCTATTCGTGCCTCCTTCGGGCTGCCCTCGCGGCCGGGTTGGCAGACGTGACCTTCAGCCGACGCGTGTCTGACCGCGTGAGGCGCGCGGCTGAAATCCTCACGCGGCAAAGAAAAAAACGACGAAGAGAGGGACGGATGAGATGACAGAATGCAGGTGTGCGAGCCAAGCTTGCCGTGCTTTCTTATAGGCATTTTTCCCCTTTGAGACTTACGACCCCCGGCGCGTCCGGGCTCTGAGGACCTGATTAATGAGTGCAAAGCACTCCTTTAAACGGGTGGTCATTGATTCTCAACGGAAGGCATGCAAGACTGAAAAGTGGTTGCACAGCCTGGCACTCCACGGCTAGCAGCAAGCCCAGGACAAGATTCCCACAGAGTATTGGGTGGCTGTGAGCAAGTGAGGTGTCAGGAGTCATACAATCTTGAGAGCTAGATCTGGCTCGGTCAAGCTTCGAAGATTCATTTCGAGTCGGCTCTTTCCCAGTTTGTACTCAAATGGCAGCGGGAAGCGAACAACGCGCAGAGATGCTTTGGGTCGTCAAGATCTGGGATCAACTCGGCTCACTAAGGCCACAAAAATGCGCCCTCCCACCAAGCTCCAAATGCCTCAGACGTCTCTGTGTGCTCTGGTGCGAGCAAAATGATGCGGAAAAAGCACGTGGCATTGGTTTCTCAGAATGGGGGATCCCCTGTTGTATGGCAAAGGGAAACCAATAGGAAAACCCTTGCAACTTTGGAAGAGCAACATCCAATTCTCCAAAGTTGGCTCCTTCAAGTCATAAAGTTTGCCTCGGCTTTTCGAGGCCACTTACTGTTGCACGAATCAACACATATTCGCCTGCGTTTCTTTTTGCGTGTAAGCAAGGCGATGGAGGCTTAGCCTCCTCACCTGCTTCCTTTGCTGAGCTACCAGCCGAAATGTTGAAACATGTACCTTGAGGACAAGCCGAGCTTCTTTGGCTGGCATTTCCTGAAACTGATGAATACGTACTACAGGGTGAAACTACCCTGCAGCCACAGCAATTCCACCGAGTGCTGATGAGCTTTCAGATGCCTGACGAACGAGACCGCACGCCAAGGACTTTGAAGGAAGGGCCCCGGGTGCATCGTCCATAGTATCGAACGGAGGTGGATACCCACTCTTCAAATGGACGGTCAACTCTTTGTGTGTCCATTTGTTGGGGTCTTTGCCGTCGGGACTCCAGGCACTATTCAAATAATCGCAAGAAAACTGATTGGGGGCTCCATTGCGCCAAACTCTTTCGAGTGCAACTTGTGTGAAGCCAATAGAAGGGCCCAAAGGCCCGGTCCTTCGTCTTCAAATATGCCATCGGAATGTATCCGTCTAAGAGCACCTTTTTCGGACTCACTTGTTTACCTCCGTGCCAGGCAAGGCGCTTGTAGCCTTGCAACCATGGGCGCATCCGCAGGCAATCTGTCAGACATTGACTTCCCTTGCGTTGTTTCGCAACTCGCACGAGCTCTTTCTCGCTCCCTGAGTCTCCTTCTCTCCAACATTTTGCCTGCTCGAGCGCATTTGTACCTCAAGCGTCTTCGACGCTTGAGGTACAGAGGCACGGGAGTGCGGCCAGCGTTCATCAAAAGTCGTTGGAGACTTCCAATTCACGAAATCCCAGTCACACAGTCCTCATCCTGAGCAAAAAGATCATGGCACTTGTGTCATACTTGCGACAAGTTACTCTGTCACAAAGCCACCAACGCTGTCCAATTTGATTCCTAGCCTCAAAGCTAAGTTTGTGGGTGCACTACTTGTTTGGCGGTGCGCTCATGTTCATGCTCACCTCGCTTTTGGCTCCGTCTCTCTCTCCCTCTCTCCCTTTTTGTTCTCTCTCTCTCTCTCTCTGTCTCTCACAGGAATCTGCAGTAGACAGCTAATGTAAGGCCACCGAAAAGCATGGAATCATTTCAGCTGTGTTTTGTTCTTTCCCCTTGCAACAATCCTTGACCCCAATTACAACCGCCCTGGCCTGACTTTGGGGACAACGGGCTAGAATGCCCGAAAGTCCTCCTCCTCCTCAGAGTGCGTGCCAAAGCACCCGCCCAAACAACATCCAAAAATTGTTGGTGTATTTCTGTCGCATGTGAAATGTTCTACGTGTATGTGTGTGTGTGTGCATATGTCAAAACACAGTGGCTCCAAAGATTTCCTTTTGGCTTCCCCGTAAAAGCGCCCAACGGGTGCCCTCCAGAAAGACACCCATGTCAGGTATCGAGGCTGGCACGCGTGGTCTACATCAGCTTGTCGTCCCCAACGTTCAAATCGTGGCGTTTCGCCACAAATGATAGGTCAATTGATCAATCCACGTGCTGAAAGAGTGCAACTTGCCAGATTGTTCTTTGTTTGCCCTTTGTGAGAGGCCATATGCAGGGCAAATACAAACCAAATCCAAAACGCTGTGCAAACAGCATCAGCGTTTTGGATGTGACACTCGGAACATCTGTTTTGCTCCCGAACCATAACATGGAACTCATGGGGGGCGCCCCTGGCTTTTGCGGGGCCTCTCTTTGCACGGGGCCCGCAGCCATTGAGCGAACCATGTAGCGCAGTCAGAGATTAGTTCCAAAAGTCGATAGCATTTAGGAAATCGCAACAACTCGAGTATCTAAATGAACTTGCAGGCTTGTTCCCGGCGCATCGAGGTATTCAGAGATTTCTTGAAGGGTTCCTTACGCCGACTTGGAATTCTCTTTCATTACATTGCACAGTGAATGCAAACTCGGCATCAAGCTGTCCAACTCAGCAAACTCCGTTTCTTTCTCTGCTGCGCTGCGTGTGGCGCCAGACGTCTGAGATCCCTCGGTGCACAGGGGGCTTGGAGATGATGCCTGGGTGCCAGGCGGATGCCGCGCACATCCCCGCCCCCTGGAGCGTTCAGGTAAAGGCGCCCGCACTGCTGGGAGGAAAGAGAGATCCACAGACCCTCCACAGAATCCGGTCACGGGAGTTTGGAAAAGAGTTGCGCCTGTCACGACATCTGTGCGACGATCTCCGCAAAAGGCTCACCCCGCTCAAGGCGCGCACGCACCCGACGCCGCAGCGAGAACGCTTCGACGCGCACGATCTCCGCAGAGGGGTGCGTTTCGATCCCGAGGCAGAAAAAGAAGAGGCACTAAGACTCGAGAAGAGAAGGTGGAAAGGAAAAGTCAGCAAATGTGATTTTAGGATAAACAGTTATCTGGCAACTTGTTGCTCGTGTATTTAGGATGCTGATGCTGGCGTGTGTCTGCGGATAGTGAAGCAACACTCGAAAAGTTGGAAGGAGGCAGGTGAAGCTTGCAGTCGCGTTTAGAAGCAAGAACCCTTCGAATGCTTCCGGAAAGAAATGCATAAAGTGGAAGTGGCTTCGCCGCATTTCCCCCATGCTCCCATTGCATCAAGCCACGCTGTCTGACGCTTCACGGAATTTGCTCGCGGCCGCGGGCGACAGGTCGCCTTTGCCCACCACCTGCGTTTCCACAGCAAAGAAGCAATCGCCACACGGCGTGGCTCGTGTTTAAAGGGGAACCCCCTTTCGGTTGGTTTAAAAGGAAAATACAAAAAACCGCCACCATTTTGGGGGTCCCGCAAAAAAAAGGACACGCCCAAATTCGCGCACAACAATGTCTTGGATCCCGAGCCTTCGGCATGGCATGAAACTTTCGGGCGCCGCGGTCCCCACGCGTCAGGAGTGCAGCAGAGCACAGGCACACGAGGATTACCTGCCGGAGACGCATGCAAGGCATGCGATTGATCTCGTCAACAGAGAATCTGAACCCGCAACGTTTCAGAAAATGATGGGCGTGGTTCGACCAATAGACCAAAATTATGTCGCAAGTGTCGGCAAAATTGTGTGGTGGCCCCATCCTCCCGCAAGTGTCTTGTTCCTTGCCAGGCCACGAGCGCACATGCCACCCACATCTCTGCGCCCGCTCCAGACACTGGGCTGCCACGCAGATTGGGCTCAACCTCTGGATAGCAATGCTGGCCGAAGCACAAACTGAAACACGGAAATTCAGCTCGCCCTGGCTTGTGCATGCAAAAATTGCTCCAAGTCAGCGCCGCGCCAATGCTCTACAGCGTCCAGCCTGGTCAAGCGCTGCATGTGCAAGTGTCGAGGTCTCAGAAAGGGGAAAGCCAACCCTGCCTTGCATTCGCTGCCAGCTGGGCAAACGCTCATCTCTGAGCACCGGTCGCCCAACAAAGGGTGCATCACGGGCATGGGCCGCCCGGTCGGCGCGGACGGAGCTCGAGCCCGCTCAGCATGCGGCATCTGGTGCATCTCCGGCATCTCCGGCATCTCCGGCTGCGGCATCTGCTTGCGCAAACAGACCACGCGCGACTCGCGCGACTCGCGCTCGCTGGGATGGCAGGCCAAAGCTTCGGGGCCGTGGGCGTTGCCGTTGTACTCCGCCAAGGTGACCTGCACTGCCTCCAGGCCGGAAGGGCTGAGCTCCTCCTCGGTTCCTCGGAACCAAACGGGGGCCTTAAAATGGGGACCCCCAAAACGGCGGTTTTCCGTTTGGTTTCCCTTTAAAGCTATTCCCAAGAAGGGTTCCCTCAAAAATGGACGAATCCAAATACCTCAAGCTCAGCCAGGTCTCTCACCTTAAGAAGACCACCAGTTCCAGAGCCTGTCTTGGGCAAAACGAAGTGCCTCTTGCCGTCGGAGCTGTTGATCAAGAGCTCCACTGATTCAGTGGACGAGGCGGCGACATCTCCACCGTCCAAAGATAATGTGAGCTCGTAGCCTTCCTGGATTGAGGCAGGCCGAACCTAAGAGCCTAAGACTCAACTATGTGGAAGTTTTCACAGCACCGTCGCTTCTTGTTCGGTGGAACCCGTGGCCGATTTCTACAATGTTTTTGGAGATGCCTAATCGCGGGCAGGTCCTCGGTCTTGTCCAGGTCAAGTTGGCTCACCCAAGGCCCGACATCCTGAGTTGAACGAGTGGGGGCCATGGGAAAGAGAGATACAGAGACACAGGAACAAAGAACAGGGAGACAAAGCTGCAAGCTCCCTGTCACTCCTTGACAGCATCGTTGCATCCACCGCCAGTGCCCGCATGCACACTGAGAAGAGACAAGGCAAAGGAAGCCAGGAAGGGCCCGCGCCGCTCCATCATGTGGGCAGAGTAACTTGAGCCAGACATGTGGGTTTTAAAAAAACAGAGGGCTTGGTGGACATCCTTTAGATGGAGATTCAGGTCCACATGTCATAGCCATTTTTGCTTGAGACTAGTCAGAGGACAACCTGGGCGATCAATAGTTTGGACCCGTTTTGGCCTGAGGGAGGTCTCATCTCTCCTCGACTCATCTGCGCCAGCAAATTCAACTGAGATGCGCATGCAAGTTTGACTTAACGCAGGCCGGTCTCATCTGCAAATGCGGGCGTGAGTGGGGGGATGGGGGCCTTTGAGGGTCCAAAGCCGGAATTTGGTCGGAATGTGTTTCACGGATCTGTATCAGAAAGGTGGACAGTATTCAGATAGAAACAATTGTAAAGGGCGGCGTGCGCTAAACAACATATGTCAATCTGAGGCCACTTGCAAAACCAGGCGAGTGAGCCACGCAAAGTCTGTGAATGGATCTCCGGAATCACATCCAAGCGAGAAGCACCGGGTGCAACGGGCCCGACTTCACACGTGTATCAAGACCAAACCCCGTCAGAAGCGGTGCCCAAAGGCAACCAGTCTCTTTTTTGGGATCCTCCCCAGCAGAAGCATGTTGAAGCTACTTCAGAGAACTTGTCAAAACCATTGTGCGTGTGTGGTTTTTGAGCACCTCCAGTCTTGGTATCAGGTGAAGCTGGTGTGGACCATGATAGGTGAAAAAACATCGTATAAGGGGCTCTTTCGGCGCTCAAAATCCAGGGAATGGCAAAACACTGCATGTTTTCGTGTATTGCTCGCCTTTGCTGCCATGTCCTGTTCGATTCGCCATAGTTTGTGCATTTGCTCAACAAACCGCTTCGGCAGCTAAGACCTGCATTTGCCACGGTGCTTTCTTGCTTTGCCTGCACCGGTTCTGCACAGCGAATAAATTTGCTCAAAACACACCTTGATATGGTCCTGGCGTCAGCAAAACAATATGCATTGTGAGGTTATATGTTGGAGAGATGTGTTGGGCACTTCCTGCGAAGATCCGTGACAAACAAACATCGCCTTGGGATGTCCTTGATAAATGTGTCGGTCTCCTATTCAGATAGCGCCGGCTAATGCCGTAGCAAGCTTAATTCATGAATCCAAGGCACAAATTCACATCAGGGGTACAACCGAAGACACACATGCAACTTCACATCTTGACTTTTACTTTAAACTCGTTGCGGCAGGCATCTTTCTCATGGCATGCCTGACAGGAGTGGTTCCTGTCGAGCAACCGGTTGTTTCTGAATTTAAGCATGCCTTCCCACCCCGGAGTCCCAATCAAGAGAAGAGAAACCCGTTTTACCGTCTTGACTGGCACGGCCTCTCTTATGAGGAGAACTCGACCAGGCTGAACAGAGCAAGGCAATTCCTTTAAGGAATTACTTGCTGCCCTGAGATATGCAGGGTCAAGGCTAGTTACAAGAGCGCGTGTGCTGCTGTGCATGCACAATCTCTGGCAGCTGAAGAAGCCTGTGTACCCAGTGGCTCATGCTGCACATCTAGTGCAAGCATGAACTCGGTATGAGCAAACAACGCACAAAAGCGTGAAACCTCAAGAAAGCACACTAGGCTGTTCACAGGATGCGGCTCAACAAGCTTCTCAGCTGCCAAAGGGCGGTCCAACTGAGAGTCCCAGGTGTCACAGACTCAAAACCATTGACCGGGGGCAAAAATAAACCAGCAAGCCGACTGTCTCTATGATCCGGATTCGCGCTGATCAATTCCTGCACTAGGTGGAAGGGATCACTGCAAACTGTGCAATGCGTCTTCAACAATCTGCACATGTTTGCAATGAAGCCGGCGTCGCAGCCTTGACTTCCTGTCTTTGAGGAGGTTCCAGAGCGCGAAGTCTGGAACTTCCAAGCAAAAGTCGCCGTGCCTTGGCTAAGCGCCCCAAGCGCTTACTCAGGCAAATCAGCATCGATCGAAGTGATCGAAGTTATGCCTGCCTTTTTATTCAAGCGGCGCTCAGGCTTCCAGTGCATGCAGCACAGCTTTCACATCCAGCTCGCTGTGTTCTAAAAATGAACAGAAACTCGCAAAGGTGACGCCGTCGGCCTTAATGTCGACAGCTTCCACCAGTGCATCGATCTGCCTCCTAGAAGAAAACAAAAGCCCGGCTGGAGTCTCGATAAACCGAGCAAAATGGAGTCGGATAATTACCCCAAAATGGTTGGTGCCCTTGTGATGTCCCTTTAAAACCAACATCTCCAAAAAGAAGACACACCCACTTGAAACGGCCTGGGTTGCCCTAGCCTGCCACAAATCACTTCAGCGACGTGTCATTACGCAAGCACTGCAAGCGCAGGAAACTGATGTTTAAGTGGTTGGACCCTTTGAAAACTTGCATTGGACGTATGCCCGCCCAGCTTGGAGGGGTTCCAACCATGAAAAACGTAGCCAAAGGCCAACGTGAGCGGTTCTTGCTGAGGTCGATGGTGGCAGTGGCGAGAACCACGGCGAGCTCTTCGCTGGGAATCACTCCTGGAGTGATTTGGATTTTGATCATGGTGAGGGGGGAATCTGCAAAATGAGGAACTTTGGCTTCCCTTGAGAACAATCCAAAACAAGGTTAATAATTAAAAACACACACACACACACACGCACGCACGCACGCACGCACGCACGCACGCACGCACGCACGCACGCACGCACGCACGCACGCACGCACGCACGCACGCACGCACGCCCGCGCGCGCGCGCGCGCCCTTGCGGCCAGTCCTTTGCCCTCAGGATCCAGCTTCTGCCAGGCTGCCTGGTGTGCTCTGAGCCCGCAACCACAAAGCTGATCTGCAACTCCAGTCCTTTATCACAAGCAATACATAGCCTCCTTACAGAATGAAATGGTGAATCTTTGCAGTCGGCATTGCCCCATCCAGTGCTCACCAAGCTTCAAGAGATGGGTTTGTCTCTGGCAATCCGCCAAATGGGTGCTTTCTCAATTCCCATTCAACCAACGCCAAACCGCGAGTCGACAAGATACTCCCAAAGCTTCCTGGTCACTGGTTTGGTTTGCTAGCTCAGTTTGTTTGGCGATGTCAAATTCTGAAACGGCGTCAGGAACAGGCCAAGGTCAGAACAAAAACTGTGTAGCGAGCATGAATGCAAAAGCCCGCTTTGAGCTTCTGCAAGACTTTTGAGTTTCCCGGCCTTGGCCTGATCCTGAATCTCAAGCCTCGGCCCAAGAGAACCGTCCGCACAACTTGCCGAGAGCAACTTCCCATTGCGGGCTGCCAGGGAGCAGTTTCTCATCTGCCAACTCCTCTGCATCGCCTAAGAAACACACGACGAAAGGCTGGCTTCCTGAACCAACTCCCTGTCCTGAAAACATAGAGTTGAGTACGCAAATTGAATTGAGTTGGTCAAGCAGAGGCCAAGCAGCTCAGAGTCACTTTCTCGCTCCTTAGCTAAAAGCCCTGGGAGCTATAGCAACGATTCAGTTGCCATTTGATCCAGATCCAAGGGTAACGAACAACCTTTCGTCCCTGACAAACCCAGTACACGTTTTTGGGGCGTCGGCGTTTTGGCCTTCAAGAAAAGAACCTCCTAAAGAGGCCCTTCTTTGGTTTTTTTGGGCGTGAATGCCGAAGCTCAAGTACTCCTCTTTGGAGTATTCCTCACCCTCAGGCAGCAGAGGGGGGTTCAGCTCCCTCCCCAGGATCTGGCTGAAGAGATCCCCTCAACGCCGCGCCAGCGCGCAAAAAACAGCCACAGAAAAGACCAAAAACATAGGTACCCAAAATGGAACCCTGGTAAATGGAACCAAAGACTAAAACCTGCGGTCCCCTGGTGGCTTAATTTGACCCACACCCATGCGGCAAAATGCAGAAATAGCTATTGTGCACGGCGCCTTTGCTTCCCATCACTTTGAAAAACTTGTGTTCCTGCAACAGGGAGCAGCAAAAAAAATGAGACAAAGAGTCGGCAAGCACCGAGTCATGATCGGCAACCAAAGTGACCTGAACCACATCGGGTTCTTCAGTCCTTCACTTCAGCCCAGCCATCGTTAGATCCAATGCGCTCCGCTGGATCTCTGCAAAGAAAGCGCTCGATCCTGAGTTCTAGCAAAAGTGGCAAAGTGCAAATGCATGCTAGCCAGCAGTTTTCGGAAGGATCTGGAATCAGCACGGGATATCAGTGCAGCGCTTGTGTGGTCAATCGCAGCGTGACGCCCCTACTTTGCATGTGTGAGAGCTGGTGTTGAGAAACATGTCTGGCAACCTGACAACCAAGATGCAGATTCTTGCCAGCATTGTCGTTGTACTTAGGCCCAAAGTTCAGCTCCTCCTCGTATGTCCCCACATGACAGGGATGACTAGGGATCATGGAAAGGACATGGGCCGGAAATGCCAAGAAGTGGAAAGACACGGAAAGAAACAAAAGCCATGAAGGTTCGTTCTGGGTTGGTTTTGAATCTTGCTGTGCCTTTTGAGGTCATCACAAAGCCGAATAGCGACCCTGTTAAGGGGAGGTGGGCACCCCCCCAAAAAAAAAGAAAAGAACAACAAAAACAGACACTCTTGGTGAGAAAATGCTGACGATATGGAAAGCCAAAGTCACCAACAGCCAGAAAAGCCAGAAAGATGAAAGAAAAACATGTTATTTTTTCAAGAAGAAGAAGAAACAAAAGCTACAAAGAAAACGAAAAGCCAAGTCTGCATACATGCACTCCGTCATAGACCGCAACATGAGAAGCATCATGCAAAATAAAGCTTGCACACATAAAGTCCACCATGGAAAGCAAAGCGTCATGCAAAATGCAAATTCAAATTCTATCCACTACACAAAGCGACAAGAAAATAGCTTGGCCTGCCAACAAATGTCAAAGGAAAAACATTGGTGATTTCTGATCGGCCTCCATCATTTCGCGCCCGTTCGCGGCAAAGCAAAGATGGCTAAGCTCTCAAGTTGAATCGCCGCCCCCCAACAAGCAATGGTAAGTTTGGGGCGCGCAAAAAAAGAAATGAACTCAGCTAAGGGCAAAACACAAATGGCGGCTAGCCCTGCTGCCATGTTTGCACTTGTTTTGCCTCCACAATCCGAGGATTCACAGAGGCCATGTCACTACGCGCGCGTCTCCTCCATCAGGGCAGTTATGATGTCATCCTCCTCCGAGCACCTCGACTTTCGGGACTCTGGAAAATGCATGTGTTGTCCACTATTAGGCTGTGCGAATGCTGTTTCAATCTGCCCAGTTCTCAGTGGAAAGTCCGAGCTCGCGGCTCGTGCCCGAAGGGCAACTTCCCCACCACCATCTCGTACAGCAGCACACCCAGGGACCAGTAGTCTGCCTCCAAGCTGTAACCTAAGAATAATCATGGGCGTTCAAGAAGCTTGCCTGTGATGCATGAGAGGTGTCCGCTCTGGCGAAGCATCCTTCAAGTCTCCGATTCTGTGCTTCCAACTGAAAACACTGCTCTTAGGCACGAGCAGCGAGACATGCACAGGTGGCAGCAGAGTTTGGCTGTTGAGCCAGGACACCTTTCCCCTCGAAGATCTCTGGAGCCATGTAGTACACCTCACGTGCTTTGCGCTGAAAGGGCTTGCTGTTGTTTCAGGGCACAAGATCACAGCAGGGGCACGGTGCCGACGATGGTGAAGGTCCTGCTGCCGTCTTCCAAACACTTGGAGAGGCCAAAGTCCACGAGCTTCAGATACCCGTGGAAATCCAACATCACGTTCTCCTCAAAGGGAAAAGGGGAGCAAAAGCAAAAATGGCCGCAGCATGCCGAAGCATGTGACCGCCTCTGGTGCAGCTTGGCAGCGGGTTTCAGGTCTCTGTAGGCCACGCCGGCCATATGCAAGGCCTCCAAAGCTAGGACCAGGGAGCCAATGTAGAACCTTGCACCAAAGCCACAACAGCTTGGAATACGCTTTGCGACCTCCAGCATGCTGTTGGTCAGCGCACTTCAAGACAAGCGGCTGGGCATGACGCCGGCTGCAAGCACCCATTTTGTCCTGCCAGTGATCTGAATCGTGCACGGCAAGAACATCAACCCTCGAGTCAGGATGTCCCTCATCTGTTCATAGAGCTGACCGCCAGTGATGAGCTCGGTGAGGATGTAAGTCCCTTTTTGTCTCCTTGGCTTCGCAGACTTTCCCTGCCCGCCACGTTGCTGGATGTTACACCTCGCTTACACCTCAGGTCCGGTCTGAAACGACTTCACGAGCTGCAGCACGAAGGGGTGACTGACTGCTGCCAGTATGTTGCATTCCTCCTGCACCGCTTCCGGGACCTCAGGCGATGCTCATGGACCTCGAAGGAAGAACATCAGACAAAACTCTCCCGGCCTCTCCATTCTCCAACTTGATGCGTTTCAGCGCATATCCTTGGCACAAATATCCTTCCATTCCCTTTGGGTGGTTCTTTCAAGGGAACACCACAAAAAAAAACGAGCAGACCAAGAAGCTGGCACCAGTCTTCACATGCTCCACCATGCGAACGGAACCAAAGGATCCCACGCCAATCATGCGGAGGTGCCTGGCCGAACACGCAAATGAGACAAGCCGATTTTCCGGGTTTCTCCATTTCGCCAAAAGGGGAATTTTGCAAGCACCCTTGACTTGGAGCTTGGAGCTCCAAATGCTTCCAGAGTGATAGAATCTTACAGAGTATCTGCCCTGTCAGTCCAGCAAAAGCAGGCCATCCATCCACTGGCAGCAGAAAATCAAGGCCCAAACAAGCGTCCAGCTGGCCTAAGATTTTTCAATGACAAAGTCCAGTCTTGCAGCTTAGCTCGGTCACGCAAGTCCTCAGATGCGATCAAACCTGCAAAGAAACGGTTGGCTAATCGATCAAAAATGCCTATTCTTGTGAAAAGGAACTGCATTGGGTATCATTAAACACTGCGAATACTACTATATGTGCAAGAGATGCAACACACGACCTTGAGAGATCATTTTTCTGCTTCACCAACACCCAGCTCTGCAACACCCGCCAGCCACACCCTGCGCAACTGCGCCCTACAACGAGGCTCTGTATAAACACCCTGCGTAACTCTCAGCTTCGCTCGTGTGCAACGCTGCCCTGTAACAGCATTCTGCCAAAACTCCTAGTCACACCTAAAGCCCGCCAGCATCACCCTGCCCAACAGCACACCTGTGCAACAGCGGCAGCAGGCAACAAAACCCCGCTACAGAACCCTGCGCAAGTCACTGTCGAATTCTCCAGCAAACTGAAACGGCAGCGACCTCCAAAGGCACCGTCCGGGACCCCTCCAACATTCTGCCCCGAACCCGGCGCCCTCAGCTTGCACCAAAGCGCCTGCGACAGCCAGCAACCTGCCACAGCTCGCAACACTCACGATCAAACTCTCTTCAGCACCTGGCAACGGGGCCCCGAAACAGCGGGGTGTAGCGGCACCGTGCCAAAATTATGGACCCGTCCAACAGCGCCCTGCTCAACAGCCCCCTGCCAAAATAGTGCATCAAACTCAAGATGCCAAAAAGTGCTGCTTCCTTCAACCGCACCCCACACACCACAGCACCCAGTACAACTTTGAGCCACAGTCTCCTGCAGAAAAAGCAGCCTGCAACAGCAGGCGACGGGGGGGAACCCGCAACCAACAGCGCCCCAGCAACTTCTGGGTCACTCGCCACTGGAGCTATTCAACAGCACCTTTCAACAGCAGCTTGCAACAGCGCCGTGCGCAATTCTGGCCCCTGAGCTCCCTAGCACCATGCCAAGCCCAAAACAGCACGCCGCACAACAGCACCCTGCCCAATTTGCGCGCCACGCCCTCCTCAGCCATTATGTTTATCAGTCACGTACGCTTTCAGGCTTTCGGGTCCCTCGAGAATACATCAGTCGCCGATTGCTTGCCGGCGCGTCGGTCCCAAGAGTTGACTTGCGACTTGCAGAGGTCAGTCGCAAAGCGGTTCCGCGCTTCACCATAATATACTATCTGATGCCACTTTGCTCTCTAAAGCATTGCAGGCAGCATCATGCCCTGCCCATGCCCTAACCTGCCATACTCATTCCGTAATGCGGGATAGTTGGTAGAAGCAATGGATTTAGCCACCTCCAATTGCTTTTTTGTTTCTTGCACATACGGCTGAGGCATTTAGATGACAAAAGCCAAGCTTCATCAAGCATGTTCTTCGTCACAAATTTCTCAAAGACATCGCGGCCAGCGACCCACAACTTCGTGTTGGGCTCCGTGATCGTCACCTGTGCAGTTCAACTTGGGAGCCAAGCTAATCTGGGCTTACATGCCATTCCCCCAAGTGCCCTTAGTGTAAATGGGAAAGCAGTCCGGTGTGTCTCAATGTGCACACCTGGGAACCGCGCTTTTGCTACACATTCTGCAGATGCCCTTGTCGCTTGATGGTGTTGATGGCTTGTTAGTTATGTACAGAATGCTGAAGTAAATGACGCAGTGATACTCAAGAAACATATTTATATATACACCGCGCCTTGAGGAGGTTTCTGCCCCTGGAGTTTGTTCTTTTTTGCGGTTTTTGCTTCCAGATCTGGACTGCTGGGGCTTCTTTTAAGAAACACAAGCCTTCAATTTAGTGCCAATCTGGGGTGGTAGGATTTTCCTTGCAAAGTTAGATTTTAAACGACTTTGGCTTCAAATTGTTGCTTCCAAATCTGGACTGGAAGGTTGTTCTTTTCAGAGTTCTTACAACATTACCCGATTGACCGGAATGACTCATCGTCCTGCAGCGAGTCAACTCCGCCAGTCAGGAAGCATGATGCTATGACGACTACGAACCTGTAAGCACAAACAGCACATTCAGCAACATGATGATACCATGGTCACGAACCATTCTGCTCTACATATGCACCGAAAGCGTGCTAATGAATCCAGCAGCATTGCGCGCTACATATGAGCCGTGTTTTTTTTAATGGTGTGGGGCCTATACACTGGAAGCACATACCTACGCGGAGGCTACGCGGCTGTCTATCCCCTAGGAATTTGGCTACGCGGAGGCTACGCGGAACATATTTGTTGATAAGTGGCTACGCGGGGGGCTACGCCGGGGCTACGCGAATACCCGTTGGCAACCAGAAGTTCGTAGTAGCAGAAGTAGTAGTAGTAGTAGTAGTAGTAGTAGTAGTAGTAGTAGTAGTAGTAGTAGTAGTAGTAGTAGTAGTAAGTAGTAGTACTAGAACTAGTACTAGTACTACTACTACTACTACTACTACTAGTACTAGTACTAGTACTAGTACTAGCACTAGTAGTAATAGAAGTAGAAGTATTAGTAGCAGGAGCAGTGGTAGTAGTAGCAGTAGTAGTAGTAGTGGTAGTGGTAGCAGCAGTAGTAGTGGTAGTGGTAGTGGTAGTGGTAGTGGTAGTAGTAGTAGTAGCAGTAGTAGTAGTAGTAGCAGTAGTAGTAGTAGTAGTAGTAGTAGTGGTAACAGTAGTAGTAGGAGGCATGTGGGCCAGTGGCCTTGAACACGCCTTGGAGGCTACGCGGAGGCTACGCGCAGGCTACGCTGAGGCTACGCGGAATGAGCGAACTCAGCTCTGGCCGGGCCAAGGCAAATCAAATTCACCCTCTTTCTCTAAGACACGCAAGCTTTCAACCTAAGCCTTGAGCTCAAGACAAAGGATCTAGGCGGAGGCTACGCGGACGATTGTCGACAGCTCCCTTTGCTAGTGGCTACGCGGAGGCTACGCGAGGCTACGCGGTCCCAGGAGTAGGCTACGCGGCTACCATGCCAGTTCCCCTCTCCTTTTGGCTCCTGCATTTAAAAAAAAAAACGCTGCTCATATGAGCACACACACACAGCGTCCACAATGAAGTTGCAGCAGCATGCTGACTTATGCAGCATCATGATGATTAAACAGCCGCGAAGTACTATGCCCTACATATAAGCCAGACAGCGCCCTAATGAATTCAGCAGCATCAAAACGATTTTGACAGCATCACGATGATACCGCATCCATAAGCCATTATGCCTCCACAACAAGCCCCATATATTCCCTTTTCTCTTGTGGAAGTTTTACATGTTAACCTTTCCCCAGCCAGGAAAAGTAAAACATAAAGCAAAAGGAAACACTGTTGGACTCATGAAAAATCAAAATGAAAGTGCGAACAGTACGGTATGTGTTTACTTCAGGCAGGTGCGCTTTTACATGTTTGCCCAGTAAAAGATAGGAATCCAAGTACCAAAAGTAGGTGCTTGTGTTTTCTTGAGGCAGTTTTAAGTTATTACTTTTGCTCAGCAAAAGTAAGCAAGCAAGAGTGCCAAAAGTACAACTTGTTTTTACCAGAGCAAGTTTGACTCTTTAACGGCTCCCCAGAAAAAAGTAAGAAGTAAAACTCCCAAAAGAATTTGTTTACTTCGGACAGCTTTATCTTCCAAGAGTTTTACTTTCAAACTTGTTTATGTTTCCTGGGTCAACGTTTAAAAAAAAAAGGACTAATTTATTTTCGTTCTGGGCAAAAGTAAAAAGGCACACCCTTCCGTGCCCCACCTTGGCAGAGCGCGGCTCGTGGAAGAGCAGCGCTCGCTCTCCGAAACATGCTCCCCGGCCCAGCTCTCGCAGCAACGCGCCGTCCACATCCACGCCTCGCACGGGCACCGACCCCGCCCAGCATGGTGGGAAATATATTGGGCGTTCGGCGACACATGCTGATGTACCCCCCCTAACAAGAAAACGCCGCGCACTGAGCAAGTCGCAAAGACCAACAAATTTCGATCTGATGTGACACAAGTACAAACGGAATCCCCCGTGAAGCGCAGTGGCGTTTTTGATATCACACAAAGGGCCATGTGCCACAAAGCATGAACTCGTCTCGGGCTGCGAGGGAAGTGGGATGCTCCAAGCACCCATGAGTCAAAACGCTATAAAACCGTTTGTAGGTTTAATGCACAACCCATTTGTTTCCAAGAGGTCCAATGGCTGATTTGGTCACACCAAAGACCAGCCATGGGGAGTGACGACGCGGGCGCCCATAACATGGTCTCTAGTAAATTGTTTGAGTCTGGTTCTGCATTTTATCCTCTGGGTGCAATGCAGCCACTAGCACCCCAGGTGTGCAGAGGGCCCACTTTGAAGCTTCAAAATGTGCACCGCGCCGGCAAGAGCGATTTGAGAAGCTACGATGCGCGCACAGGACCAACGAAAAACAGCACATCACAAGTCATCAAATTCACGAGTGCTGCGCTTCCCCACTGGGAGAGCCATAGCGCAATCATACGAACGGTTGCGAACGGTTGCGAACGGTTGCACAACATCCGTCAAACAAGGCTTCACCCCCAGACTGCCAAGATGAAACGAGAACCCTATGCTACGCATTCGGGAAAAGAGAAAAGAAAGAGAAGGGAAAAAGTAGAAAGCGAACTATAACTCTTATATGTTTGAAACTTACCTCGCCCCCCGGCTCTGCTGGCTTGACTAGCATGATCACAACAATTGGAATCTGCAGCAAAGCAAACATCCAAACATCGTCATCATGAAGGTGTGACATGTAGTAAGGATGAGACCCCATCGCTCACTGAACGTAAGTCTCCCACGAACTCCGCCCTGCACGATGATGTAGAATTTGTCGGCATCTTCTCCTGTCGCCGAAAAGGCCCGACTCGCGACTCGCGAGGCGCGAGGCGTCCGCCTTGCTCGAAGACCACCTCCCCGGCTTTGCCGGAGAAGGACTCCAACATGTTGGCCACTGCGGCAAGCTGGAAATCTGCCAGCCGCTTCAGCAAAGGCACCCTCAGTGAGCCCTGTAAGTGACACCCAAGCCTATGATAGCTGGCCCCATGCAAAACGACATGCTCAAGCCAAGCTGCCGCATCATCATTACAATTTTGCACACCAGTTCAGTCCTTGGAAGCTTGCTTCCCCTTTTGCCCTACCACTTCCTATCTTGGTTTCGCAGAGCAATCTTTGTCTTGAACCCCTGATAAGTCTTTAACCAGCATCCCACAGTTAGACCTGAATCACGCTGGGTGACACTTGCTCTGGCCGCTGCGGTAATTCTGCATCCCCAGAGAGGCAGCAGGCTAAGTCAACCATGGACACGAGCGCCAGCCTCCAACTCACTAGAAGAAAATCAGTCCGGTCCGCGCTTGCATTTCGGGAGAAACGAGCGCTGGCTGTCTTGCAATACGGAGGTGGCGTAGAGGGTGAGGTGAATTACATTCACACCAGCTATAGTATGTCATTGGATTACACTGCATGACTTTGACATGCATGAAACCACGTAATATTGCCAATTGCATCACGCCGAATATGCTCTTCATTTCCACCTGGCTTGCACAGTGTATGATTGTTGACCACGAGGAGTCCCTATTCAGCTTCCCCCTAGTTGGCAGTTTGGATTGGTGGTTTGGAGGTTCAGGGATGGTTTCCCATTTACCCGTTACAAGCCACCAATGGCAAACCACCATCTAAGGGTCACCTAAGTAGCAGAATGTTACAACAAAACTTCCGGGCGCTCATATGCCTTCCATAGAGGAACAAACATAGAGGAACAAACATACGAAATGCAAATAGAATGACGAAAGCACCAACGGTCAACCGTTCTTGTTGTGCATATGTCCCGTCAAAGCAAAGCTTCGAAGGTTTTTGTTCCAGTGTCCGAAAATAAGAGAACCCCCCAAAACTGCTGCTTTTCGTTTCGTTTCCCTTTCAAACCACAAAGGAGTTCCCTCACAAGACACCTGTATCTTACATTCAGCACTTTCTCATGGGACTCCCAGCGCGCGCTGGCATCGGGCTGCAATACCAAGCTCAAGAGACAGACTTTGGGTGCTGAATTCATTTGGGTGCAGAAAAAAGCTGCGCCTCCTTTTCGGATTTCTTCTTGTCCAATGCTGTCTACAATGTGTTCAAGAAAGTGCCAGGCATTGTTGGCAAGTCGTCCCCTCATCCAGCCACCCCCAGCATCACTAGCAACACCCCGAGCATCACCAGCAAGCTGTGGGCTTGAGCCGGTATTGAATGGTTACTGGGTTTCGGGTGGGTTCAGGGTTGTTTTGAAGCCGATGCAATTTCAAGCAGCGATTTGTGGTTTGGGGTTGACTTTGGGATCAAGATGGGTTTGAGGTGAGTAGGTTTGGTGTTGGGCTGGTTTAGGGTAGGCTTGGAGTGAGATAGGTTTAGGGAGGCCTAGAGTTGGTAGGAGGGGGGTGGTTTTTGGATTGGTCGGCTTCATTGAACTAGGGTTGCTTGTAGGCGTGGTTCTGGTTCAGGGTCGGGTTAAAGCTGCTTAGGTTGGGCTTAGGCTTGGTTCAGTTGGTTTAGGGTTGTTTCGGGAGGGTTTGGGGCTGGTTCAGGGCTGGCTTGCATAGGGTGTTTGGGGCTGGTTTAGGCTGGTTTTAGCGTGGGTTTAGGGTTTGTTTTGTGGTAGGGAGGATGGGTTTGGGGTTGGTTCAGGGTGCGGGGTTTCAGGGTAGTTGGGGTTGGATTAGAGTGGTTTGTGGGATAGTGTCGAGTTTGTTTAGGGTTGATTTAGAGGTAGGGGTTGTTTGGGATGGGTTTAGGATGGTTTATGGTTTGTTGTGGGGCCGGTTTGGGGTTGGTTAAGGGTTTATTGAAGTTTACTTAGGTTTGATTTAGGGTGTGGGTGCGGCGAAAACGAATGGGATAAAGTGTGTGATCTATTACAAGCAACCGGCGGGCGAACAACTGCCCTCAAACTACGTGAGTGAGCAAAGATGCTTGGTGATGCTGTGGGATGGCGCTGGTGATGCTGTGTGGATGGTGCTGGTGATGCTGTGGGTGTAGAATGTCAAAGCCACGCAAGCCCCGAAAATTTATAAAGGCCAAAAATCTACAAGCGCGCAAACAAATGCCAACATCCTGCCCCAAAAACAAAAACGCGAGTCATTGTCTGGTGAGTTGAAAAATCAACAAAAAATATCCCATGAGAAACAGCGCCCTGGGCAACCGCCTTGTCGGGCTTTTCGATTGACTTTGATACAAAACGGATATTCGGATATCGGCGCGAGAACTGCCCCATCCCTTCCTTTCCAAATTCTCTGCCTGCCCCCTGAAGGACCTGCCACCAGCTCGTCAGGGCGCACGGAGGCCGGTGGCAAGTCCTCTTCCCGGGCCACGCCCGTGAAGGTCCTACGAAATCGGGGTCGCAACTTGGAAGCAAGGTCGGGACACCACTGCAGCACTGGGTGTGGGTCAATATTGAAACACCAGGGAACCGCAGAATTTAGTCCATGTTTCCATTTACCAGGGTTCCATTTTGGGGTTACCCTATTTTTGACCCACAGCCACGGAGTTTCATGCAACCAAAAGTGTGCCACGTCCGGGGCACTGCAGATGGTCGAAGCTTGCAGATTGGCACCAGCTCCCCCTTGTCAGCTTCTCCGGACCAGCATCAAAGCTGCCATCCAGGACCAATGCCAAGTAGGGCATTGAGCCAACCCTGCGCGGGACCAAGGGCAAGGAAGGAACAGAACCAGCAAACGGAAGAAAGTTACACTCCAGTTCCTGCCTTTCCAAGCCTTTCACTGCATATCCGGCTTGGCAACTCTCTGTCTTCACCTGACAAAGTGTCACAGTTCCATAACAGGATCGGGTGATCACTGTAAACTTGCTTCTCATCTTGACCCTCTGTCCAACAAGCACGGAATTGAGACCCTTCCCGAAAGGAAAGTCTTAACCCCGCCTGTCAGCTTCCATGGTTGGGGGGGGGACATGGAGCACTCGCCTGGTTATGGAGCATGGAGAGCTGCAGTAGTCTCGGCAGGCTTTCGAACCAGGGCGCCTTTTGCAGCGAAAGGCTCACCTGAGCATTCCGAAAAATTGCTGGAGGTCCACCCAAGTGAGCGTGTTTTGGTTGAATGGCGACCAAAAAAAAACTGGGTGGCTTCTAATTAATCCCTTTCACCCAACCCGACACAAAGGCACCCTCAACAAAAAGACAAACCCAAGTGCGCCAAGATTGCTTGCATGTCTTTGCAGCCGTGCAGCAAAGGCCCTCTCCAACTGCAGTGCGACGTTGCTACCTCACGAGGCGGCCGATGACAGAGATTGAGTCATAGGCCAATCTGGGAATATGGGAACCGCGAAACTGGGGGTCTTTCCGGCTTTCGTTTGGTTCAGCCTTTTAAGCACCCCCGCATTTTGCAGGGAATCACACGAAGATATGGCCATGGGTCAAAACCCCGTACCCCCAGTGAACAACCCAATCCCCACTAAAATAGACTAAAATGGGTGGTGCACCTACCCCAAAATGGGATCCCATTCGTTTTGACCCGCAGCATGCCCTTTGCCCGCTCTGTTCTGAGCGGCCCAGGAGACTGGCCAGCTTCTCAATGAGCACACACACCACCGTGCAGTCGGTGGCAGCCACCAAGTTGGCCTGCGCAAAGTATCACGCCGTGGATGGAACATCGCCATTTGGGCAGTGACAGAAGCCAAAGGCAGCAAGAAAGGTTCTGAGAACCTTCGTGGCGCTCGGAAGGGTGAGGACCTCATTGGCAAGAAGGGCCCCAATGTGTTGGTCACTGCCATAGGCTTGCCGGCTGTAGACAATGCCAGTCCGCCCGCCTGGAGAATAGGAGTTGCACCCATCCTGAGGTACTCCTCGCCAACGCATCCTCCTTGCTCAACCTGGCGCCAGGCAGCAATTTGCCATGTGGCTCGTTCTTTCGAGGTCCCCCCTTTTCAGACGGTTTGAAAGGGGAACTATGTGGAAGGAAAAATATCCATTTCCCCCAAGAATGACACCAACCGATTCATTTGCAACCTGAAGATCGCCTGCTTGATGATGTCGCCGCCCTCCAGCTTTCCAGACACTCGCTCTCCGCCTTGGACGAGATTGAGACTTCCGGACTTCACCTCAGCCACGGAGAAGGCGCGACAGCTCGGGGTGCTTCTCAAAACAGGGACCAAACAAAAAAGGCTCCTTTCTGTTTCCTTGTAAGGGTGAAAAAGGTAACCCAGATATCGGATACATGTCGTGCCCCTGAAGGCCACTTTGTTGTGGCTTGGGCCCAGCTGCAAGGTACAGGCGCTTACACTCCTCACCCGCTTCCGCCACAACTGAGCCAGCAGTGAAGGTCTCATTCAACAATGCAGCCTCGTGTCGAAGCGACAGAATCAAGAGCTGCGAGTCACAGCCACATCAAGCAGTCTTTGAGAGTAAGTCACCGGCACTTTGAAGCACTAAACAAAAGCAACGCGGAACACCTTTGGCCGCATGCTATTCTCAAGCGATCGAGCCCATCCCCCTCCTTTTCCCGAGGAGCTGCGCCAACCTTCAGCTTCTGCTTGTTGGATAGCCCGGCCAAGATATGCACTCGCTCCAAGAGCCGCAGGTTCTTGGCCTGGTGCCTCTCCGCGTGCTCCCGCACGAGATGCCGGAAGAAGCTCCCACCCAGGGCCCAGACACCAGCGGCCTAACCGACGTCCGAGTTCTCGTCACCCGAAAGTGCCGAGTGGGGTGGGGTGGCTCTAGAAAAAGAAAGCCAAAAGCCAAGAACTACACTCGGGTTACTCTTACATGGCTTGGATCTTGGGTTTAGATGAGCAAGGTGCCCTCGTTGTCCAAACCACCAATCCAAACCACCAGGTATCGGTAAGGTGATACGCTGCATGTCACTGCACAAAAGAAAGCAAAGCTTCGCCTCTTTAGCTCTCACCGTGGCGGTGCGAGGGACGTTGTACAGCAGCGCTATGCAGCCGAAGGCGCAACCTGAGAACAGCCGTCAAGGGGAAACCCTTGCCTCCCGCGCACGGGGGGCGCGTCAAAGCAAGCTGGACGCATGCTGGGCGCTTTAAAGGGAAATGCTGCCCTGTTTCGCAGGTTGACTAAATGAACAAAGGTCTGGCAGTCTTGCAGCTACCCTGACTTAAGCAGCGCCCAAAAAATATTAACTTTTGGTCTGCCAACATGTTTGTAAAGCTTTGTATGGGGATTGCTAAAATGCCTATCAAACCAGGTACTACCATCTACTAAGGTGGCCCTGTTGGGGGTTGGGCACTCATCTAGCACACAAACAAAAGTCTGTGCCGTCAGGTTGCCTCTGCGCATGGTGTTGGCCACCCGGCCATTCACTGTGACCTCCAGGCAACCAGCCTCAGGGTCCACCAAAAAAGCATCCCAAATAAGGCACAAACAAATCAAACAAGCGGAATTTGAGGTGGAAAGTCATAGACATAAACAACACCATTCCTGCATATCCCTTGAGATGCCTCCCCCCCTACCGTGAGGCAAGAGGGCGGAACGTAAATGCACTTCCAGGAGTCATCCTCCTCCCCCAATTCCATTTTTAAGGGGGCTTGCTGGTGCTAATTAGTCCTGTTCCCCAAAAGATACCCACACAAAGAAGAAATGGCTTTTACGTTGAGCGTGAGGCATCCCGGCATCACCTAGGCAACACCCATCACCTTGCCTCTGTGATGAACAGATTGTCACCCTCCTCGCCCTGCCGCACAATGATATCTCCAGGGTCGAAGGAAAAGTACTCAAGCCGGGAGCACAGTGCCTTCAAGACATCCCTTGGAGTGGCAAGAGAACAAGCGACATGAGACGCTGGCATCTGCTATTCAAGCACACTTTTGTGAATTCGTTCTGACAGCACGCATTGCTTGACTCCGGGCTGGGTTGCAAAGCAAAACAAGTGCGCACACACAAAGAGACACACAGACACAAACACACACACACACACACACACACACAGAGACACACACACACAGAGACACACAGACACACACAGACACACACAGACACACACAGACACACACAGACACACACAGACGCACACAGACACACACAGACACACACAGACACACACAGACACACACAAACACACACAGACACACACAGACACACAGAGACACACACAAACACACACAGACACACACGCACTCACGCACGCACGCACGCACGCACGCACACACGCACGCACGCACGCACGCACGCACCCACACACACACGCACGCACGCACGCACGCACGCACGCACGCACGCACGCACGCAAGCACGCACGCACGCACGCACGCACGCACGTACGCAGGCACGCACGGGCGCGCGCGCGCACGCGCACAACACACACACACTCACAACACACACAGACTCACATGTCACATGTCCTTCACATGCATCCAACAAAAGATGCTGGCAAGTGTCTCTTCGAGGTGCCGACAGAACCGACTGTTCTTGATGCTTTCCTTCAGGCACCGAAGCAAGTCTTACAACCGAATCTGTTTGTCTATACAATGGTAGCTACACGAACCTGTACCGCATGAACCTGGCTTTTGACAAGGCAGTCGACTCAAGGCCTTGCTAAACGGTTCCTCCCCTCGCACGAACGTCGTGCGTTTCAATTTGTGCCCAAAATGGGCACGCGTTCAGACTTCGAAAGAAAATGGTGAAAGAGACAAAGCTGGCATCGCACTTTGCTCACATGCACTGTGTTTCACGCTGAGCGGCGGAAACCAGGGCTTTTGTTGCCTGTCCAAGGGCAAACGGTCACATATGATAGACTTGGGTCCCATACGGACCAACAAGATCAAGCTCTCAAGCCTGCAAAAGAAGCCTTGTCCGTTGACAAAACAAGGCCTCATCTAGCTCACGGCTTCGCTTCTTTTTGCGTAGTCGAGCACTTTCTGGCACCAAGTCCGCGTTCGGGATGGGCTTGAGAAAGCACTTTAGGTCTCAGTCGCATGAAGCCACGTGCACGAGTGCAAGCCTGAGGAAAACTTCACCCTTGCCAAAGCCACCCATGCTCCACTTTTTTGAGTCAAGGCCGGCTTAAACTCAGGGGTTCCCTTTGGGGGAAAACAAGCCCCTCGGTTGAAGTCTGACTTGGGGTAGTCAAAAACTGGCACCCTGCTAAACCCTCTTTCCAAGCAGCTTCTGACTGCAGCTGAGGCAGTGCTCTCGGATTCAGAGCACCTTCTTTCCTTTGCCTCGGCCTTGGAACATTCAACCAGTGTGATTGGTGGAAGATTATTCCCTGGTACCGGATGACATTTTGAGGCTGCTTGGCAAGCACACAGCCCTACGACTCCCACTTTGAACCAAGCATCTTCGTTGTAGCCGTCTTTGCTTCTGGCACTCAGCTGCGCGGGAAGCTCTGCGCTGAGGTCCATGGAACATGCGGCAAGACACCTTGGGAGTTTTTTCCAGGGCCTTTGGTCTCTGTGGTGCTAGCTGTCCTGTTGGCTTGAGCTGAAAATCTGTAGCCTCGGCCTGACCCGACCCGCCCGGGAGCTCTGATCCGGCACTGGCACGCTGGCACACTGGCACTGCAGACATTGAGGGCAATCCTGTCTTCCACAAGCCGACTGACCGTGTGACATGTTGTAACCATTCTGCGCCTTGGCAGAGTGCTTCTCGACAAACCTAAGTGATATAGTGCTTGGTGCCTTCCAAATAACCCTGCTGCATGAATTCTGGACAAAACACCGGAGGGTCAACAAACTGACCCTCATGCGGAGTAGTGATGGACCAGGTACTCTGTTCAACTGTGTCACAAACAGTTTAAGGCATGCAAACCACCCGTGAATTCTGAGCGGACGACCCGCTCTGCACGCCTGCGGCTCGGAAATCTGAAGTCTCCTCGCGGCTGGGTCGCCAGAAACTTCTCGACAACCGGGAGTCCGTACCAGGCCTGATTCTCCTTGGCACGTCGATATTGGCTTGCGCCCATCCTCAGTTGTGTGGGCAAAGCATGAACTCACGGCAAGATGGGCCACTAAGACAACACAACAGGCAGCAACCATGGGCAACCTCACAGGCTCCTCCATATGGGATGTCCAAATCAAGGGACGCCAATGGATCCCGTTTTTGCTGTTCAACCAACCCCATATCATTCGGGCACCGGCCACGGCATCGTGGAGACCATCCTGTCCCACGGTGCTCCTGGAGATCAAAACGAGCTGGTGGTTTCGTCCTTCTTGTGGAGTTGGTTTTGAAGGGAAGCCAAGGAAAAAGCACCATTTGGGCTCCCTAACTTTGCCCGACAAAGCCATGTGGCTGCGCATGTCCAAGGTGTAACTGCGCCTCCTCCCTCTTCCAGCTTCAACCGTCGCCTGGCGATGGTATGCCAGCTGCTCTTCACAGGCAAACCCATCTGGAGGATCTGTGAGCTCTTTCAAAAGCGCAGCGTAGGTGTCAAAATATGGTTTGGACCCAAAAATGACGGCTTTCCTTTCAGGTTCCCCTTTAAACCGGCTTGAGAAGGGTTCGCTCAAAAACACGCGCACACACACACACAAACTCCCACACACACAGCAAAGCCCAACTGAACCTGGGCCTTCCACGTGAAAGGCAAGCCCCTTCTGGCCCTACCTGGGAGATGGCTGCGGCTCTGGCGTGGGCGCAAGGATGTCCTGTGCGCTGCTGCTTTTCACCTGGCGAAAAGCAAGTTTCAACGAATGATTTGGCTTTGATGTCCAACCAGTTCAGCATGTGTCAAAATAAGGATTTGGATTGCCAAATGGTGTTTATCCTTTTGGCTTCCCTTTAATTTAACCAACCCCAAAAAGGGTACCCTAGAAAACACATTATCCACACATACACATGTACATATATATATATATATAGAGATACATCTCTATATATATATATATGTATACATGTGTATATATATATATATATATGTGTACATATATGTGCTCCTGGGCGGTTCGGTTTTTCTTTGAAACCCTTTTGAAGGCTCGAAAAACACGAATCGCTGAGGCCGACGCCGAGCTCCGCGGCCTTGCCTCTCGATCAAGAAGCTGAGGCGCTCCGTTCATTTGTGATGTAGAAATCAAAGGAACTTGGGGCCACGACCCACTCAAAACCACAGACTTCCACTATTGTAGGGTGCATCTCTCAAAGGAACCGGTCCACTAAAATGGCAAGGGCTGAGTCCTTTTGAAACCAACCAATGGGAACTTCAACAATGGAAAAAACAAAAAACGACGGGCCTCGCGGCAGCTGCGGCTGCCAGCAGAGCGGTCGAAAAGCTCGTACCAGCTCTGAAGGCGAAAGCCGCACGCAACGTGCGTATGCTCAGTCAGTTGTGGGACCCTTTGGTCGATATCACGAACATGGGGCCTTCTGTCCAGCAGTTCTTGGTTTATTCTCGGTCTAAGGCGATTGCTCGAGAATGAAATTGAGAAGTTGCTAGGCCTAATTTCGAGAAAGTGCCTGCTGACAAGAGAAACAAACATTTGACTCCAATCAGCCCCAGCGCACACAAATGCCACGTGGGAAGAACATCGGACATATCTGGCTTTGACACCCCAACTGCATCTCGCACACCAACGCTGCTCCGCTCAGCCTCAATGCTGCTTCCTGGGAGGAGCATGAAGCTTCGCTTGACTGCTCAAGCGCAACTGATCCTCGCGCATCCAACTGTTTGCTCCGTTTGGTTTTTTCTGCCTTCCATGAAAGCCAAAAGGCTCATCCCTCCCGGTCAATAGCAACTGATCGAGCTGCTCCAAACCGCAACGGCCTGGTGCCGTCCCATGAGCAAAGCCATCAGAGCTTGCCTGCAAACGCGCAAGCGAAGCATTTCAGTCAGAGCAACACCCAAACATAACATATACACAACCCTAAACCCATGCAGCGTGGCAAACCTAAACGAACCCAAAGTTACCCAAGCTCAAAACCCACTGTAAACCTTCCTGCCCCGCTCCGCCCAACCAACTCACAAACCGACCTACCGACCAGCCAAACGGCCAGCTGTGGCCGACATCTAGAGGGCGCCCTTTGATCCTTCGGTCAAGAGCACAAAGCCCGACAATAGATGCCCCATGAAAAAGGAATTAACTTGTAGCAACTTACAAAGGTTTAAAGCAGGGGAGCGCGGGAGGCGTCTTGCCTGATGCATCCTTCCTTGAAGTAATATTTGATATACACAGCGGTGTCTCCAAAAGGCGCGTGTAGCACAACTCGGGAAAACTGGGGGAAACCTTGGGAAACCGCACCTGTGTCGTTGGCTTCGCGGCGAACTGTTTCCGCATTGTCCGCCTCAGAAAACCCACAACTCATCCAAAGGAATGTGACAGAAACAGCCCATGGAGAAACGGCAAGAATTCCTGTGAGCCGCACCTGCGCCCGCTATCGTCGCGGGAAGTATTCAGGCCAGCGGAGTCGACGCTCCTTAGACATTGCCATGAGGTCGCCTGTGTGGGTTTGCTAAGCATTCCATCCATTCCCTCCAAACATTGCAATAAAACATTCTCTGCGCGGCCTGGCAAATCCCCATCGCACCTCCAAGATCCCGACGCGGATCGTTGCGAGTCCTGGCCCAAGCCGGCAGCCGGCCATTGCCTGCTGTGTCAGCATCCCTGCCTTCCCGCGCTCCGACATGTCGCCTGGCAGAAGCTTCGCAAGAGAAAACATCATCGAAAACCTCGCGCAAAGGGGACACTTGCCCACCCACCGACCCAAACACCAACACCCCGCCGGCCTCGTGAGCCAGCCTCAGGGTCGCCGCCATAAATGGGTGTCTCAAAATAGACCCCCAGAATCCCCCCGAGGTCCTTCTCTAAAACCTCCCAGGAGGTTGCATTTGAGACACTGATTTAGGGCTCAGGCTCTGGACCCCTGGGACCCCTGCCAGGAAGACCTCACTTAGAATCGCGGAACACATGCAAGCGAGCAAAATGCAGGATGCCTCCAAAAATAACAAAAACATAAGGCACTTTACTTTTCCCAGACTTTTTCAAAATCATTGGAGACATTGATTGCAAAGTACTCTGTCAGTTCTGTTCCAAACATGTTTTGCGCCAGTGCATCTCAATGCCTGCCAGCAGCGCCCTCATATAGCACACCTCACAAAAAGCTCTCTCAAGCAAACAGTATCCCAATGGCCAACAAACGCTCTTCATTGCACAACTCCATCCATGATTGGCAAAAAGTACACCATGTTAATGACGCCCAAACCGGTCCAAACAAGTCCAGACAAGTGGCGATAGTCCTTCCTCCGATCATCTTCTGCATCACCTGATTCTCAGTAGCAAGCTGACATAACCAGGCACTCTCATACCGCTGCAGCATTGCATGCGTCACACCTTGCCTCACACCAGGTCTCTGCCAGGTCAATCCACCTATTGTTTGACAAATATCTTCCCTAAGCCTCTGAACTCTTCAGCTGCGGGCTTGAGCAGTTCCGACGCCAATGTGGCGATGCCTGCATATGCTGCCGAAGGAATCTGCATTGCATGGGGCTTCTCATAATCGTGGTCCCAAAAAACTTACCGGATTCCTCTTGGCTTGTCTTTTGCTACCAACCACAAGGGGTCCTCCACCTTGAGCACCAAGCGTCTCAATCAACATCACACTGCCAGTTGCAGTGCCTCCTGGATGCGATAGTGATCATCAGGAGTACCATGAAGCACGCGGATCGCTGAACGCCTTGGGGTGGTGGTTGTGGTTGTCGTATTGGCTGTGGTTGTGGTTGCTGCTACTGCTACTGCTACTGCTCCTGCTCCTGCTACTGCTACTGCTACTGCTACTGCTACTGCTGTTGCTGCTGCTCCTGCTAGTCTTGTCATTGTTGTTGTTAGGGTTGTTGTGGTTGTGATTGTTGTGGTTGTTGTGGTTGTGATTGTTGTGGTTGTTGTGATCGTCGTGGTCGTTGTGACTGTTGTGGTCGTTGTGGTCGTTGTGGTCGTTGTCATTGTT